GTCTCTAAGGTGCCACAAGTACTCCTGTTCTTTCAACCTGTTAACTCCTCCACTGGAGCGAAGGAAGCCCACTGAGTATGATTGCCAGGGTGAATCAGTAAAATAGAGAGATACAGGGAAGCTGTTAGGTGGCAGTTGCTACAAAGGAGAAGGCTCTTGCACCAATAGTGACAAGGTTGTGAAAAGGGATGCTGGTGCTAAAGGAGAAGAAGGAGATGGGGAGGGGAGATGAGGAAGACGAGAGCCTTAAAACAGGATGGGGAACATTCACGGAGGGTTTTAAAATCTTTGAACTGGATCCTAAAATGAATCCCAATCTGACTGCATTGAGGGTGAAGATGATACGGTCCCACTTCTTCATCTGTACAGTGGTTGCGGCATTCTGCTCACACCAAAAACTGACGTTGGGAAGATCACAGAACACGGCACTGCAATAGCCAAGGTGAGAAAAACTGAAGAGGTGGTTGAGAATTTCAGTAGAGATGGTGTCAAGCGGACACGGACAATGCTGCAGAGGGGGAATTACAGACATGGGAGATGTGATGTAAGAAGAAATGTTCAGGGTCAGGAATGATGCCAAAGCTATGGAGAGCTGAGGCAAGGGGAAAATCTGTGTTAAAGGAAATAGGTCTATCTTGAGGAGGCTTCTCTTGCCCAGGAGAAGCACTTTTGTCATCATGCTATTTTGTTAAATGAATTTGAGATGAAGCCACAACTTTAGTTGATCATGACAGGCAGTGTGGGTGAACAAGGAGAACTGACTAATAGTGTCTGGCAACTCCTGCCATCCTTGGGCAGGGATCCAGCCACCCCGGGCTCAGTGCAGGACTCAAGAGTTAACTGCAAAGATCACTTTAAGCCAAATTTACATCTCATTATCCTGGAGCAAACCAAGGACCAGGTCACCCCCGGCACAACCCTGAGCAGCTTCAGGGCTGCACGAACTTGGGCTGGTCTATAATAGCCCCAGAGGGGATATCATCATGACTGAGGATTACCAGAATGCACTGGCCACCCTTGGCCCTTTTGGTCACACCCTCATACCAAGCGCTGAAGGGGTTGGCATAAAGTTGGCCCACACTGCGCAGGGGTTCCCATACATTGTGGGAATTCCCATGTAGCTGCTGATGCCAACTTTATGGCTGCTTGGCACTGCTTGTACAGGGCCAGGCATTGATCTATAGACTCAGAGGCCTGAAAGAACTAACCTGGCCCCTCCACCCAAGGGGGGGGGGGGTTGAAAATCATCAAATCTAAACCTAAAGGCCAACCTAATCAAGGAGGAGAGATTTAAAGCTCAGGAAAGGCCAAGTGCCCAGCCTGTGAGTCCTGCCTGTGGGACCGCTGGGCAGCAGCAGCAGAGCTACCCTGGGCCAACACCTTCTTCCAGGAAAGCATTTGAAATGCGGAGCCAGGACTTGTCCTCCAGTGGCTCACCTGGTGGGGCCAGGGGAAATGCTGGGGGACCTCAGGGGCCAGTTTTCTGTCCAGCTCTGCCAAGCCCCAGATTGCTGGACTCGGAACCTCTCCCCCCACCTCCCCTTCGCTCTACGCCTCTGGCTGCTTGCTCCGATCTGCATGTGAGCTTGGCTCGGGCCCCAGCGGCTCTGCCAGCTGACGGCGAGCGCGTGGGAAGCCAGGCTCCAGCAATCGCCGCCCTGAAGCCCTGCAGGCAGGACCGCGAAGCGCAGCCGGCTCCGCTCCGCGGCAGCCCAGTGTGAGCACGCAGCAGGGGCCAGAGGGAAGGGAGCGCTGGACAGAGCCGCAGCGCCGAGCAGGGAGCGGAGACGGGGCCGTTTGACTGGAGCGCCTTGCTGCGTGCAAACTCCGGAGTTGCTTCTGCCGCTCGGACGCGCCTGGGAGCTGTTTGCAGCCGGGCAAAGGAGAAAGCTCTCGGCCAGGCACCGCTCGCCTGTGCCTCGCTCCTCCTGCGCTCTTGGGGCGCCGGGAAGAGTTGGCGCTGGAAGAGGGTGAGAGCCCCTGCCGTCAGCTCGAGCACCGCCGCGGGGCGTTCCGCAGCTCCGGGCTGCTGTCGGAGAGGCGTGGAGAAGCCCTGCAAAGCTGGTGAGGGGGCTGGAGAGGCGCGTGGGGCCAGACCCCGAGCGGGGTGTGCGAGGGGGCTGCAGGGTGTATCCGCGCGGGCATGTGGGGGAGAGCAAGGGAATGGGACTGCTCAGTGCTGGCATGTGCGTGTTGCGGGACGTTCCCAGTCCCAGTGTAACAGCTGGGAGCTGTGTGTGTGTGTGTGTGTGTGTGTCCCTGAATGTACAACCCCAGCGTGTGTTACCCTCATGTAGTGGTTCTGTTTGTGTGTATGCCCAGCTCTGAATCTTGGGGGGAGTGAGCGTGAGACAGAGAATGAGAGTAAGTGAGTGTGTTTGACAGTGTGTGTGTGATAGGGGAGTGTGTGTGTGAGAGAGAGATTGTGTGTCGGGGAGTGTGTGTGTGTGTGTGTGTGTGTCGGGGGAGTGTGTGACTTTGTGTGTGTGTGAGAGAGAAAGAGAGTGGGGGGAGTGAATTTGTGAGAGAAAGAGAGTGTGTGTGTGTGTCAGGAGAGTGTGTGTGTTAGTGTGAGAGAGATTGTGTGTTGGAGGAGTGTGTGCCTGAGTGAGTGTATCAGTGTGGTGTCTTTTTAAGAAGAGCATTCAGGGTCTGGACCCAGAGGCACCAGCACAGACATGCTCCCCCTGACCCGCACCCCAGCTCAGCAGAGACTAGGTACAAAGGTTGGGGAAGAGGGACACTGCAACATAAGCAACCGTCCCCTTCCCTCCCCCTCGCCCCCCCCCCCACAGCAGGCAGGAGGCAGGCTCCAGCTCCTGAGCTTGGTCAGGGGCAGCTCCATGGGCGGGGTGGGGGGCAGAAGCAGCGGGGGCTAGAGATGGCAGTGCAGCAGGGAAGTAGGGGCACTCCTGCTTCAGAGGCATTATCTGGCTGGTCCAGAGGCCCCCCGCTGCACCCTCTCCAGGTGCTGCTTCAGCTGCCTCGTTGCCTCTAAGCCCCACTGGCTGTCGGAAGGTCAGATGAGGAGGTACTAGCACGGCGCCCCCTTGAGTACCGTGCCCTGGGCAGCACCCTAAGGCCGGCCCTGGTAATATCTGTGTGTGTGTGTGTGTGCGCGCGCATCTCAGAGTGTAAAATCTGTGTGTACATGTAACTCACCGAGTGTAAAATCTGTGTGTGTGCGACTCACCAAGGGTAAAATCTGTGTGTGTGCATGCATGCGACTCACACAGTGTCATATTCTCAACATATGTTTTTGTGATCCAACAGGAAGTGGTCTAGGCCCTTCTCTGGGGCACACTCCGGATCACTGCAGGAAGCCTGGCCATGCCAGCCCTGTCTATGCGTGCGCATATTGCATGCGCATGGCTCACGCCTCTCAGGAGAAGTTTCTGGAGACTCAGTGTGTGAGGAGCCAGAGAACCAGCACCTGAAGCCTTCTCCATGGAGCCTTAGGAGAGAACCAGGGGAGCCCCGCTCACCACCCTGTCCCAGCCTGTCTGCCTTGTGAAGAGAAGAACCTGGCCAATGTTGGGTAACAGCAGCAGCCCCAATTGCACTCTGTCCAGCCCACCTCTTCTGGGGGAGATCTGCAAGCTCTTCATCATGGTCCTGCTGATTGTTGCCATCATCCTGGGCAATGTGGTGAGCCTCCTGGTCTTCCTGCAAGCCAGGCAGTTCAGGACCTCTCAGGGCTACCTGAAAGTCTCCTTGGCCCTGGCTGACCTGGCTGTGGGGCTCATTGTGGTGCCCTACTCCGTATACAGGGAGGCGAGCAGTCTAGCCTCTGGCATGGGGCAGGAAAGCAGCAATTGCTCTATCCCGTCCTTGCCCTGCTTCATCACTGGACCCATCTTTGCTGGCTGCACCTTTGTCTCCATCACGACCATCTTCCTGCTGTCGGTGGAGAGGAGCGTGGCGGTGCTGAAGCCCCTGCACAAGAGGGTGGTGATCACCAAGCGGCGGACGGTCTGGCTCATCCTGCTCTCGTGGTTCATGAGCTTCTTGTTGGCAGTGGTGCCTATGATCTCTAGCCCAGACATCACCTTGCAGTATAACCCCTGCAGCAAGATGTGCACCTACGCCTTCCCAGCAGGCAATCTCCCCGGCTCCCCCTGGAACATCATGCTGCTCTTCCCAGTCTTTGACTTATCCTTGCTGGGGGGCACCTTTGTCATCAACTTCATCACCTTTGCCGCCATCCACCAGTACTGCAAGGCACGCGGGCGGCTGGGCAGTGAGGCACAGCACGGCAGCCGCCCCTCCTTCTCCGACATCACTGCAGCCAAGACCATTGGCATCGTGACCTTTGCCTTCTCGGCCTCCTTCGGCCCTATCGCCGTC